AAGGACTCAAATCTGTTCATACAGATGTTTCGGTTGTTTTCCATGATAAATTTAAACCAAAGTCATCTGAGAAAAAATACTCTAACTTGGTCCACTTAGGCTTTGATTCCAATGGGATGGTTTCAGGAGAAATTTCTCTGACACAATGAGATGAGGTTTGAGAGATTTTATGGCAAAAGTAATAATGATGATAATGATAAAATGATGATAATCATGGCTCTGACAACAAAGGCATTAATACCTCTCAGTAAGTAGGAGAGGTGGTTCAAAGAAAATGAACACCTCAAAATGCATTAAAATGGGCGACATTTGGCCCCAGAGTCAAGCTTTTTTGCTGAAGAGAGTAACAACAAATGGCAGCACCCCACTAGCAAAGAACACAGGGGCCGATTCCACGGAGAGTGGAGTGAAGCCTGCCTGGGAGGAAGGTGCCTACCCACACGGGTCCATTATCTCTTCCAGGGCAGGCCAGGAAGGGGCCCATTCACTCCACCTGGGTGAACACACTTGTCCCAGGAGGCCATTTCCCTTCCTGCCTCCTCCGATTGGATCAGGCTCATTTGTTTTTCTACCCCAGTTCTCCGGCAGTCCTCGCTCACCTTGCATGGGTTATCATAAAACATCTTTCGGCACGCTGCTGCTAAAATGGAGCACTCTAAACAAATGTTCTCTTAGGGCAGTAACTCCTTAATATAAACTGCATTTAATAAAACTGGTGGTGATTCTAAAAAGAAATGGGTAAGGCATATTCAGAGAAGATGTCTGGAAGAAATTTGCAATTAATATTTTACAAGACATTTAGATTCCACAGTTTCCTCCTTGCTGTTAAAATTTAAGAGGTTTTTCAAAACTGTATTCCTCTCTGTTATTACATCCTTAATTAAATTAATTTATACAGTGAATGCTCTAATGATACTGCTGTGGATTTCAATCCAAAAGTCTTATTACTAGAGACAATATGTGTTAAGACCTTGAAGAGAGAATGGCACCCAGCACAGTGCTGACACCATCAGCACAAGGATATTTGGCCCTGACATCTGATTATTGAAAAGATCTTGGTAGCTTTTCTGGGCCTCAGTTAAGTCTCTATTTTACTTTATTTTTTAATTGAGCTAAATTAGGTCAACAAAAACAAAATGAAAATCTTGCAAGTTGCCTTGATAAGGATGTCCCTCCGGGAAACACAATAGCAGATAATGACATTTCTACTGAAGAAACTACCAGTTAGGTTGTGTCTAGATAAAACCCTCAAGAATGGATGCTATCTTTAACCACAAGTTGACATATCTTCAAAGCAGGGGCAACCAAAATTAGTCCAAAAACTTAAATGGTCCAGCAGTGGAAAAAGTCAGCCTAACAAGGCACCAAATCCAATGGCTTCTCAGGTAGCCCAGCCTGTGCAGATACACTCACAATATTCTCTTCAGGCTATAAAGGCTCTACTTACTAGGGATCTCAAGGATGTGTGTGTGTGGTGAATGGGCATTCCGTCTGCAGCAGAAAAGCATGAAAATACGAACCATGTAAGTATTAATTACCTGTCTACTGTCCACCCTTCCAGCTAGATTAGCTAGAGGCCCCCTTGGGCTCGATCCCTGCTACTTCCTGCCAATATCTAGCTTAGAGCTAAGCACACTGTAGGTACTCCATGATCATCTGGGATTAATCTCAGGAGATGTCAGTAATTAATAAGGCACTGTACCTAAAATTTCACCTGCTGCTGAAGCATCCAGCAACCGCTCCTAGAGGAGATGCATGATCAAACCAAGGGAATGACTCCCAGACTCATCCCTTGCTCTGTGTTGAGCTGTTGAATTTGCTTCCTTTATGACTGCCATTGTATTTCTAGGGTTTATGTTGAGAATTTCAGGGGATGTAAAACAGAGTGTCTTCTTTGGTTACTCAGTAAGAGGCAAGTTTGAGAAACGTGTCCTGAACGATTCTGCACTGCTCAGTAAGAGCCCTGATCCTTCACCTCAATCTGGGAGTCGTTCCCCCAGCCCCATGTAAAGGGTTTCCAAAATTCATTCATGGCATGTAAAGGAGGATGCCTTCAAATCAAAATCTTACGGCCGACACATTCGATTGCACAACAGACCGTCCTATCAACTTGTTTCTGCTTCCTGACTGACCAAGTTCTTTGTTTCCCTCAAGAAAGAAAGATGGTGCATACAGAGGAAAGCAAACTCCCAACATCAATCAAGCTTGGCTGCATAATAAAAGTTCCCTATGAAACAAAACATCAACTGCAAAAGAAAATTACATAGGAAAAAACCCTAGCATTATTTGATCTTATTTTAAATAGAAAGTTTTGGACACTTTAGAAAAAAGGCAGCAAGTGACTTTTTAATGGATTTTATCCACAGGAAAATGATTACAACCAGAAAAGCTTTAAAGTGTCAGCTGGTGATGCATTTTTTCTTTATCCCTTTTATTTTTATTCAGAAAGAAATTGAAGGCATATGGCAAAGTGCATCATTAATTTCTTATTAATTTCATAATATGAAGGCAACCAGTTAAAATAGTAGTGTACAACTTTAAATTACCGAACTCACTTGGTATTTAATGAGAGATTTAGCACAGCAGGGTCTCTGTTAAATTAAGTTGTGCCTTCACAGCACAGTGGGAAAACAGGTGTATATTGGTTTAGAATTATGGAAATGTTGACTAATTCCAAGGCTTGTAATCAAACAGCAAGGCACCCTGTAATATTTTTTTCTTCCAAGAATATGCATTAATCTTTTATGTCTGGTCCCATTTCTTTCTGTCCACCAAAGACTCACACAGCTAAAAAGGAAACACTTTCATGTTTTTCCTATAGCTGTTAAGGGTAATGTGTACTGGACAAAGCTGTGCATAAACGCAAGATGTGAAACTCTATCCTCATTTACCATATTCGAAATGGCAAATGTAGCAAGTGTGTGCACTGGAAAGGCTATCAGCCTTACAAATCAGATCTGACTTTTCAAATTTTCCTTCAACCTGCCTCAAGTAATTTGGCACAAGAAACTAGATAAGGAGAAAACCAAAAATAATCCACGACCGACTTTTCTAACTCCCAAATTATTGTCCTTGACAGTGGGTCTCTAACGTCACCTCCCCTGAATTCTACATGCAGAATTTTTAGGAAGAAAAGAAGTAACATAGGTACAACATTTAAAAAATATAAAACATGTTGTTTTCTAAGAGTCAGTGTAAGAATCCCAAACAGAAGCATACTCATAAGTCACTTTTACGCATTTCAACATGCCCCATTCATTATATTCACTCTGGGTTTCTTGAGTGCATCCTCGACTATGAAGTTCACACGCTGGGAGCTGTGTTTCTAGTAGAGGGATAAATACCTATCCACCAAGCTCTGCATTCATTTAAAATATGATGTGACTTGGCATCAAACTACACTATACCTTAAATGCTAAATAAACAACAGTAATTTTAAAAAACACACCTAGAAGGGATTCTGCATGCTAATTACTGGAAAGCATTTCTTTTTAAAAGAAGAAATACAAAGTGGTCTTTGGGTCTGATTAAGAGCCTGGGAAATAAAAATTATTTTCATCTATTATTGGCTGAGTCAGTAAATATTTGCCTTGGCTCTTTCATTCCACAATGTGACCCAACACTGCAATCTACTAGAATCTGTGTTAAAAAAATCCATTTACATGAAGAATGCAGATAAAATAATACTATTTTTTAAAGTCACTGAGCAAAGCACTCAATAAAAGCAGCTTTACTAAGAACCACCTTAGTGGTTTCAGAGAGAAGCAGTGAAACTGGGCGGGACCATTGTGGGCCCACACACCTGCTTTTTCGAACCTTCTATTCTTTGATTTCCTCGCATACGAAGGGGAATACCAAAGTAGTAGGATTCGAGATCAAGGTTCATAATTTATGACTTTTGGGTGATGAAGAAGCTCATGTTGTGAGAACCTTTTGCTGAGCTTTTTGCCACTACAATCTTGTATCGTGGATGAGTCTAGGATGAATCAAACAAATGCAATCTTTTCTGGGGGTCTGCGGGGGTTCAATGGTTATGTTTGCATGTGTGGATGTGTACAGACACACACGTGTTTGTGTATGCATTCAGAGACAAGTAAATGACACAAAGGTAGAATTATACCCTGAAAACATTAGGGACATTATCTTATCTTTCTCTTATTCTTATCAAACCAGGTTTCAATAAAATCATTATCCTTGCACTGGTTACCACAGGTGCTTCATTATAACAAATGCATGGCATTATGATCTTGAATGAACTCATCACTGATATGTGGGTCAATGGGGAAAACATTCAAACAGCATCAGGAAATTGCTAATAGCATGAAATACATAAAAGTGCCAGAAAATCCTTTAGAAAAACGGTATTTTGGTGTTCCTACATGCAACATCGGTTCATTTCTGGTGAACTGTGCCAACTATCAAATATTACTGGGAAGGAAATGGAGAAAAAATTGTCAGCTTTGTATTTTCTGTCCTGCATCAACATGAAGCCACAAATTGGGCATTAAAACATTGACTTTGTTAACCACCATTGACTGTTTAGAAACCATTAGGAGGCTTAATATTATGGCTGTACAGGGTACATTTTGTCCTTTCAAAAGAAAATCTAAAGACAAAATTTGAAAAGGAGCTCCTGGTGAATAAAAGCTTTTTCTTTTCCATTTGCTTCTCTTGTGTGTGTTGGGTTTTTTTTTTTTCTTTTCCTTTTAAAATCTTAGCCCACCCAATACTCTTTGGCAGCCGCGGCTGCCCAGTGGGGTCACTCTGATTTTCTAACCAGGGGATGCACTATTGGACAATGCCTCCCGTCAGTGTTAACGCCAGCGCTCCTTTACGGGCTGGCCAGCTGGTGTGGCTGCTGCAGGGAACCGGGGGTCAGCACACACTCCTCAAAAGACCAAAGTCATTTTTGGCACTAAGAGCCCATAACTAGAACCTTCAGTTGAAAGGACCATTTTCAAGCAATAAAGTGATTCTGGTACAAAAGTAAACCGACTCACCCCAGGTAAAGTTTTAATATTGTGCAGTGCATTCTGGGCCTCAAGTGCAGCTTTTCTTGTATAAAATGTTACGAAACAACAACCTACAGAGAGAAATGAAAAGGTTTTAGAAATTTCTGTGAATGCTTTGCTTAGATATAATGGAGACTGTGGCGAACAAATAATCTACTTAAAAGGATGCACAATTTAAAAATAATAAAGCGTATGAGAACAGCAATAACAACATCTCAAGCATTTACACAGTACCTTTTCATCCTAAATCATATTTATTAGCTTTACCCACGTTGGAGATCAATTCCTGACTCCGTGCCTCACATCACTGGAATACAGCTATTCAGGAATGAGGGTGGGAGGTGGTGGAGGAATGGGTGAGGTGTGAAAGGGGCCTGTGTTATAGCGCCTACGTGAAAAGAAGTATTTATTCACAATAACAACAGCACAAGCTTACATTAATTATAATTTTCTTAAAGTGTATCTCCAGAACATCAGGCTTTTGAAAGACTTTCTAAACTCAAAGGTTCAGACAACTGGATTATAAGCTTCTGAAAAGCTGGGATAGTGCATTCTTCTTTATCTCTACCACATGACATGATGCAAAGTTCTGTACATATGACCCTCAATACTCGTTTGCCAACATGGAAGACTGTATTTTAAGTGGTTTAGAAATTAAGCTACAATACAGATGGGTACATGCCCAAGCAGATGTTAGTGGACTCTGGCCCATGCATTACATATGGCTGTGGCATACAAACTGGCAACATCTAGATTCCTCCTTTCCAAGAGCCTGTGGGAGTCCCCGGCCCTGCCGGGCAGGCCAGCATATATCCTTTTCCAACCAACCTCCTCCACCAAAGAAAATGGTATGGAAATCCTAGACCATTCCCTCTGTGTCCTGGAGGAGGGCTTGCACCTTCTTCAACTTGTAGATAAAGATACTGGCTATTTGTTCATCAATATACAGTTTCTCAGCACCATCAGTTTGGGAAAAGAGGGTAGGACAAAAACTTCTGAAATTTAAGAAACAAAGATGCTAATCTTTGATCTGGGATGTCTTTGGTGAGTGGTTGAGGAAAAAAGTAAAGGGATGCACTCACCGAGACTGTAGGTATTTTATCTTGGTTTTACTAAAGGAACGTAATGCACAGAGCCAGACAGGGGCCAGAAGAGCTTTGAGAAGTGCTCCCATTCCAGGGGGAAAATAAAGTATAATCTCATTCATACAAGATTCTGAAAGACATCCAAGATTGTGCCTCATTTGGAAGAGAAATTTGGAACCTCGTCATTTTACACTTGATTTAGTTAGAGTCTACTGACCGTCAATATATACAAAACCTTTGCCTTTTGGACAGGGTAGACTATGACCATCGCGTCTTGGCATTTGAAAAACTCCATGCATCCAAGGATCAGAAACCCTTCAAATGTATCACTTGAATGAAGGGAACTGAACATTATGACATTTCTTTAAAGAATCAAGCTGAAGAGACTGACCATTTTCACGAGCATCTTATTTCAGCTCCTTTGAGGTCTTTGACCAGAATCCACTTGGCTCTGCTTCTTGATGGTAGATTTTTTAGTGAACCCATCAACTTCACTAGTGAGTTCAGCTTCACTGGTGCGATGTAAGCCTCAGAAAAGCCATAGGAATTGCTTCAGGCCAAGGAGTAATTTCCAATAAGAAACTAACATCCTAGCTTCCAGTAACCATGTTTAGAAGAAAAATACCAACCATGTCTCATCAGGCTTGGTATACAAAGAAAAACAGGACAAGCCTTCCTAAATGCTTCTAGCAAACACGGTCTCAGTGAGTTTTCCTTTCCCCGTCCTGGGCTTATGGCATTAGTTTCTGGATAAGGAAGCAATGGGGAAGTTCTGAAATACCACCTCATTTAATAATCACAGTTTCAAAAAAAAAAAAAAAAAAGCAGAATCTGATACTTTTAGGCAGGTAACTTTTGGGGCTGAGATGTTTAAAAAGAGAAGATTTAGGGATGCAGCAGTTTACTGGCTGAAATAGAGGAAATTATGAAAGAGTAAGTTCAGGAGATGAAGAACCGATGCCAGTTTGGCCACGCCAGAGCCAAGAATGAAGAGTTTAGGTTGGCCTGGAAGAACAGTGGTATGACAGGGAACATGAAAATAAAGTACTAAACAACACTAAGATAAAAGCAACAAGGAACAATGATGATGTAAATGGAGTGAATTGTGTGTACTTCTGTGTGAGCAGCTGTGGAGAGCTTTGACCAACGTACAGCGGTCTCAGGGATAAAGGGAGTGCTCCTGCCTCAGACACCCAAGCAAAATCCCTGCCATGGCCCTCTGTCTGAGAGTCCACCAGGAAAGTATAGTCCATTTGCTATTTACATATTAAAACATGACCCTTGAGGAAGGAGACATTTCATTGTTCCCAGTTATTACAGCTTAGTGTGATTTTAGCTACTTTAAAGGGTCTTCCTCTTGAACAAACTTCTTAGTGAAAAGAAGGTGGGTGGCTTTGTTTTTTAGAAAGGGAGAGATTGAAGCTGGTATCTGAGCAGGGTGGGATGGCAGGTGAATAGGAGAAAGGAAGGATGAAAGCACTCGAACATACAGAAGAGCAGATGGGAAGATCCCCAAGATCTCAAATGCTTTCCAGTTTCGTCCAAGGTTCACTCTGCCTTTACAACTAGTACTGTGAAGTCAGCGACTTATCACTACAGATCTTCTTCCAACTACGCATAGCTCTTAAATGTTTCAGTTAAAAGTGTATACTCATCTAAACAAGTATTCTTTAAGATCATGCCAAGAGCAGCTCTAGTTCCAGTGTGACACACAGGAGGATATCCTAGGCAACACCGCTAACGTGTCTTACCGCTCATCTGTCTGACCCGAGAGCCGAGCCCCAGCACAGCTCCACAGGTGCCGTGTTTGGTAGGGAAGCCTGGAGCCTTTGTGCCGATTCCAAAAGGGGATCCCATCTCCATGATCTCCAGGTGGGCAGAGCTCCTTGCTCCAAGTCCATGGCTTGATAAGCCCATCCCAACCTGGATTTCTAACTCCATTCACAGCCTCAGCAGGGTACCCTTGCGTAATGAGCAACTTACACAAATGTGGGGTCCTGGGCAGACAAGGAGACTGGGAATATTAACCCCAGAGGCTTCTTTTGGTTTTTCACATTTAGTTCCTGAATGACTTACTGTGGGGAATATCTTACTTCCTCAGTACCTTAGTTTCCTCATTAAAACATTTATTTATTTTTGAGTCAGGATGTCACTCTGTTGTCCTGGCTGGAATGCAGTGGTGTGATCATAGCTCACTGCAGCCTTGAACTCCTTGGCTCAAGCAGTTCTCTGGGCCCTTCCCTGAGCACCTGGGACTACAGGTGTGTGCTACCATGCCTCATTACTTTTTAAATTTTTGTAGAGATGGGGGTCTCACTATGTTGCCCAGGCTGGTCTTGGACTCCTGGCCTCAAGTGGTCCTCCCACCTTGGCCTCCCAAAACCCTTAGACTATAGGCATGAGCTACTGTGCCCAGCCTAGTATGATCAGTAAGTAAACACCAGGTCTGCCTAATATCCCCCCACAAAACTATGTGGATATGAAGCCAAAGTGTTTCATTCAGGACCAAAAAAGAAAAAGGGTCAAAAGCATTCTTTACTTCTATTAGACTAAAGGAGGTCTTACGCTTCGTTCAGCATGCCATTGTAATGGTTCACTTAACAAGTACAGTGTTTGGTTTTTATTAAAATTTGCAGGATGAATACAGAGCTCCAAATTGAAACAGTCAGCTTAGATACAGCAATTAGTGTTTTTCCCCAGCAGGACTTTAGTGTGTACCTTTCCAGACACTGGAATGTGTTTCAAAGACTTTCTATGAGTTTCTCCTAGTTAACAACCATAGTCTTTTTATCCACCTATCACTTAATATGCTCCTCTAAAATCTTAGATGACCGACCTGCAGACAATATTTCAACAAAGAGAGAAATACCATTATTTTCCCTGAAATGGCAATTATTATGGCAAAAGGTCAAAGAGCTACTACAGATCCCTGAAAACTCATGAAGGCTCAACAAGGATGAAATTTTCTTTCTTGTCAGCCCTAACCAAACATACAGCTGTTAAGGGAACCACCTGTCTCCTAGATTTCCCCACGCCAGCTGTAACTCAGGTCTGAAATGTACTGGATTCCTTTCCAGGTCAGCTGCAGCACCAGATGGCTCAGCAGTCTGAGTCAGGGGCAAGCCTCCTCCCCTACAGGCTGTGTTTCCAATATCACATCAGTGTAAGGTAGGTACTCACACATCTACAACACCCAGGGACTCTTTGATGGTCAGTGGTTGCACCGTACATCACAGGGGACAGTCCCTTGGGCTTCAGAATTCATTCCCAGAACCCCCCTTTCCCTACTGTCCACGGAGTGGAGAGAAAGGCCTCTCTCCATGTTAGGGTGACCAGCCAGGGGGCTCGGCTCTGGGGATCAGCACAGGCTGACGCAGTCTGATGAACCAGGTGCTTCTGCAGGTCTCAACCCTCCCATTGCTGCTTAATGCTGGTAAATTTCTGCTGCTTCACCTTTTTCCACTTTGCTCATTTGACACTATCTAATAAGCACCAGCACGGGACGATTCATGCCACTGCTTATCTACTCATTCAGGAGCTTCTGCCAGTGGCAGTGGCCTAGTTAGAAAAGACAAACATGGTGTTCCACGCCCAGGTGACTTCAGGATATCCCTTGTTTCAACGACCTCAACAATTCATTGTAATAATAAAAGTTTTGGTCCTTGAAGCGAAAAAGAAAAACCCCAAAACACAAAAAAATGCCATCCTCCCTCATGTGCCAGTTTATCAAGCCCCTGCCACGACTCCTCACCAGGACTTTTAAAATTCACAGGTCCATCAGGTCCAATGGAAAACCCGGGAGAGGTGATCCCAGAACCAAATATCGCAGTCTCAGGTCCACACAGAGCCTAGCAGTCCCACTAGGGATGACTTCTTCTGTTGACTACACAAAGACTGTGCCGATTCTCTGTAACTCAGAGGGGAAATACACTAGATCTTACTGGCCACTAATACGTCACTGTGATTCTGCTGTTCACTGTCAACAT